ATAAGCACAAAGGGTAAAATTTAAGACATACAAGGGCAAGAGTTAATTAAACAAACTTCCTTTATTAAATAGAGGCTAAAATCCACAGTCTTGAAAGCCTGTAAGTTCAGAAACGTGCAATACTAAAATCTATCCGAGGGTCCTTCTCCAGGTCCCCTACACAACTTTTCTTGCCCAGACAAGGCCACACTCTCATCATTGAAGCGAGGACAATCCTACAAGGCTCCCCAGGCCTCCCATTCATACATATCTGCCCGGTGAAGGAAGCAACACACTTCCGTTATATGGAGGGTTTGATTGTTAAGTTTTGAAATTTGTGCTCTATTTTCTCTGACCACCATCAAGCCAGAAAATCCATTCTCAAATTTTACCCTTTCTAGTTAATACAAATACATTTCAATCCTAGAATAGGCTAACAGCAAGACTAACCTGGGAGTGCCAGTCCAATCCAAAGCTACTAGAATGGTCATTCGTCACTGTTACATGTAACTGACAGACTATTTTGGTCGACCAGAAATTGGCTGAAAGCCACTAGACAAGTGTCAAATATGTTCTCAATAAATTCAATCTGTGGCACTCAGCTGAATCTTTTTATTTTTGTTTCTTTAAGGAAAGGCATGCTGTTCTAAAAATTAGAAAGAAATTTGGGGGAAAGGAGGTTAATATAAAAAAAGACAAGAGCTTATTAGAGGAGTAGATACTCTTCAACTGACAGAAAATCGGTATGTTCGAGAAGCCAGTAGAATCAAATTGGCCAAAACACAGAAAATATATTTACCCTCAAGGTCTTCAACCAAGAAGTCACCTAAGCCACAAGTATCTACTTTGTGCCTCTTGGGCAGCAGGCACTGGTGGTCAGCCTCAAGACAACAAACTTATAAAACACAGACCCAACCCCCACAATTGGGTAGAAGGATTCCCACAATGACATATTCAACAACTACAGATTGAAAAGTATTTCAGAAAATTTTATCAATAAGCAAGGCAATACACACAGGGGGTGCATTTCTGCCTTTAACATCTGTGGAAATCAGGAAGGAATTAGGCAAGAGACATGGCCCTCCCTCTAGGTCTGTTAGATCCCTTTCTTTTAAATTTCCACTCCTCCCTGGTGTTTGTCACAATCAGCAAAGACAAGGGTTCATCAATAGTCCTTCCCCAGCAAGCGAAGGAAATCAATCAGCATGGCCAGCCCACCTGATCCCATCAGATGATCCCCACTCTGTGCTCCTCCTGTCCAGGGAAAAAAGCCTAAGAATGACCCACAATGGAAGAAACCAAACACTCCCAATATTATCCTTTCCCTCTGGCCCCAGAGGAAAAGGCCCACCCATCAGTTAACCAGACAGATGTGGAGTGTCACCGAATGCCACACCCAGCTCCACAAAAGGTAAGATAAAACCACCTTGGTCCTATTTGCACTATGAGCTATAAATATAGCATAACACAACAGCCACTAGGAGCACTACTCAGACCAGCTGGAAATGACTAAATACCCTCTCCTCACTGGTAATTGCCTACTTCTTTCTATTTGACATAATTCATCAGCCAGATTACAGCAGGTCATTCTGCAACATATGAAGAAAGCAAGGATAACGTAACCTGACACATCAAAATGTTCCTCTGCGAGCAGCCTGAAGAGCTGCTCTACAAAAAGCTGTGAGCTGGCAAAATAACCATATAGCATACAGGTCAGTGGGCATCCACTCTGCTTATTGCTACTCATTTCATTTTTGAGTAGCTCAGCACAACTGTAATTGCTAGTTAACAGACAGACTGGGTCCTGACTGTTAAAATAAAAAAAAAAAAAATCCCAAAACGACTCTGCCAGGAACCAAAATAAATAAAAGGGGGGGGGGGGGGGCAGGGGGGTGTTGATCCCCAGTCACTGGTCAACAAACACTGGCTATGAAAATCCTGCAGCTACAAGGGATGCAGCCAGCCCAGCAGCCACTGATTTCTGATCTCTGAGCCCCCTGCCTTTCATGTGGAGTTCTCTGTGTGGTTAAGATATGAAGACATTACAACTGGACAGTTCTGGGAACTTTCTCATCCCAGTGCACTGTGCATAGATACTGGCCCCAGGAGCATTCACTGTCCAAGTTCCAAAAAGGAAACCACATGGATTCATGATTAAATATCAGCATTCGGTTTAATTCTAAGAGACAACTTTGCTCCTTGTAAAATGTTAAAAACCCTTCCCCCACTCCAACCCTATTAGGAGAAAAAAATCACATCAAAGCGCTGAAGTTATTATGCATTTTTTGTCTTTGTCTCTTGGCGCCCTGGTTTTCTTGGCTGTTCTTTATTCTCTCACTGCTCAACTGCTCCAATTTAGGAATAAGAACTAAAAAAAGAAAGAAAGAAAGAAAGAAAGAAAGAAAGAAAGAAAGAAAAGAAAAGAAAAGAAAGGAAGGAGAAAGAAAACAGGAACAGTTGCCTCTGTGCAACTCCCAGGATTCTGCAGAATTTCCATCTCTCAATCCCTTCTTCCTCCTTCTCCCTCTTCCATCCCCTCCCTTCCTTGCCTTCTCAGATTCAAATCTTCACGTCACAAACCAGAACACCATTCAAGCCTTCGATAAACGTTAAGAGAAGTTCGGTGCCTGAGGTAGAGGCGAAATCTGGGCTCTCCTTGGGCGACACTGACAAGGGGGAACCTCAAGTCCTCAATTCCTAGATGGCGGGCTTCCCCATTCCACCACCTGAACTTGCCGCCTGGATCCCAGGCAAAGTCGTCCGCAGATTTTCTGACCGGTTCTCAGTCTCTGCATTTATTTTAACTCGGCCCGGGCGCAATCAGAGAATCTAATCCTAGCAACAAAGCCAGGAGCACAAATCCACCGTGAACTGGTCGGCCCGCTCCCCCGCCCCCTTCCTCCCACCGCCCGCGACTCGCCTTTGAAAAGACAAGCGTTGGGGGCAAAAAATTAATACGTCCGAAGCTAGCCAGAGAAAAGCGGCAGAATACAAAGTGGCCTGGAATGGTCTGGGTTTCGTGGTTTGTTCATGCGTTATCTTTTTAAAACAAGGACCCACCGAGGTGAACCCGGGCCGGTCGAGCCCTGGGTGGGAGCGTCGAACAGCCCCCGGCGCCGCGCAGACAGCTCGCCCCCCGCCCCCTCTGCCGCCTGGCTGGGGCCGGGGTGAGTGGGGGAGGTTCGCGCGGGTTTGTCTGACACTTGTAAATGGAAGTGGGATCCAACTTGGAAAACAAACGCGCCGGAGTCTGGGGGCGGGAAGGAGCGGGAGGAGGGATGAGGAGGAGAAAAGAATCTTCAATCATTTGCGCGGTCCGCGCTTGCCTCCCTCCCGCCCTGGTTGCCGCAGGTTCGCCCAAACCCGAAGCGGAATCCCAGTGGGCGCCCGGGGGCGATGAGACCCGGCCGGAGACCGAGGCGGGCCGAGTCTGCCAGCCGCCAGCCGCCACCCGCCGCCGCCACCGACCACCACCGCCGACCGCCCACGCTTCCGGGCCGTAGGCGAGGCTCCTAGCCCCCCAAGGCGACCTCGCCAGGTCACCGCAGGCTCGCTCGCTCCTCATATCCATTCAGGAACCCCCCTTCCGTTGCCCGGTTGGCCCCCATTATTACGAGGAGCTGCAGTCGCAGGATGCCATCATCTCTCTCTCTTTCTCTCTCTCTCTCTCTCACACATCCCGGGGGCGCCCACCCCTTTCCTCTTGTCGCAGTCTACCCTAGAGGCTCCCTCAGCTCGCGGCCAAACTCCCGTCACCCCCGCATCCCAGCCCCGAGCGCACCGCCGCCTACGACAGTGGAGCAAGGGAAAGTGCACAAAGTTGCTGTCCGCGAAGCCTAATCCAGGTCAATGTTTAACCATCTCGGAAAGCACGCGCGACAAAAGTCAACGGGAGAAGGGAGGGAGGACTAGACCACAGCACCTCTAAAAATACCCGGGCTCGCAGCCTCGCGCACGCCCGGGGGCCGGATGCACTTTAGCTCAGCGACCCCCACTGGCGGAATCCTGGCGCGCCCGGCGCGCGGCGCGAGGACGGTCCCGGCCATCTCCGCAGCTTCCCGGGCGCTCTCCCTCACTCAGATCCCGGCCCCAGCCCCGCACCCACTGTCGTCTGGCTGGGGGGTCCATCCACACCCGTCCGGGAAGGGGCCCCCAGCGCAGAGCTGGCGCGTCCTCGCGTTCCCGCCTCGCGACCCAGAGAGGGAGGCAACGCACCCCCCGGGGCGGTGAGACCCGCGCCGCTTTCTTTTCAAAGACAAGCAACCTTCACGCGTGCAAGCCCGCCCGCCAAAAATCATGCACTCTCCCTAGGCGCTCTGTTTTCCTTCTCCCTGTGAAGGTAGCAAGAAAAATCCTCCCTCCCAATCCACTCCGTTAAAAGCTGGCGCCCCAGTTCGAGAGCCGCTGCCTCTCGGAACATTTCACCCTGCCCGCGACCCCGGCAAACCGGAGTCAAGCGTGGAGCTGACCCGCAGATAGTCCAGAAACCCCTTTCACTCCCTAGCGAAAGTGGAGTGTGGGCCCCCTGCTCCGCCCTGCACCTCGGCAAGCAACGACCCAACTTGCACCTCCAGGTCGCCCAAGTGCATCCATCGGCATCTGAACATCGCCGCTGCGCCCGGCAGGCACCAGCTATCAAACAGGCTAGCAGCCTGGATCCTCCTATCCATCTGCAACCGGCGGCCGGGGCTTGGGGGACCCAGGGACAGGTGTACTGATCCGCAAGCCCCTCGCGGCCCTCCCCAAACGCTCAGCCTCAAACTTGGCCAACTCTCCATGCCAACCTCCCGGCTACTGCCGCAAGACCGAGCCTCTCTTCCCTCCTGGCGGCGGCGGCTAGGAGCTGTGCCGAGGCAGGAACTTTACAAGGTGAAAAGTTTCCCCATGCGCTCCGTCGGCTCTCGCCTGCCCGAGCCCACCTCGCAGCCCATCTGCACCCGGCAGCTGGAGCTGTGCTCCTGGAAGCGCGCTTCGGCTGGTGCACCGGGCAGCCAAATAATTACGCTAAAATCCCCACGCACCCTTGCTTTCGCTGGCGATCCACGGCTCCACCAGGCGCAGCCTCCGTGGTCTTCCTCTCCGAGCGCTCCAGCCCAGGACTAGCTGGCCGCTCGGCCGCCGCCGCCGCAGTGCACGCCGCGCGCTCTGCCGGACTGGAGCCGCGGGCAGAGGCGCTCGGCGTTCGGAGGCTCGCAGGCAGAGCGGGGGAAGCCGGGAGGAGGAGAACGGCAGCGGGAGGAGGGGGACGGGGCGCGAGATCCCAATCCGCAGCCCAGATCACAGCGCAGCCTGCCGGGAGCAGCGCCTGGCTCTCATGTCTGCTCCGTGCTGCCGCCGCCGCCGCTACTGCTCGCCGCCTGGCTGCTCCCAGCTCCCCATCACAGCCGACGCCGACGCACAGCCAAGCCCCTCTCTCGTCGCCCCCTCTCGCTTTTCTCTCGCTGTCTCCTCCTCCCAAACTGCGAGCGAAAAGGGCGAGGGGGAGAGAAGCCTCGGCGTCCGGGCCGACTCGCGATCTCGGAGCGCCGCGCGGGGGGCGGGGGAGAGAGGGCGGTAGGGGAGGGGGTTGTGGGAGAGGCGCTGCGAGCTGGAGGGCGCTCCCGGCGCCGGGCCTGGAAGCTGGACTAATTTTAGAGCGCGAGTCTTCCCCCACCGGTCTCTCGGGGCTCGAGGATAACACCAGCGCGCCTTCCTGCCTCGCCTAGAGCGTGGTGCCGGCTTCAGGGAGCGCGCACACACCGTTCTCGGTGGGATCAGCAACGCGGCCCCGCGCACAGATCAAGCTGCCGTTACTCTCCGAGGACAGAGGAGGAAACTGAGGCACGTCGAGGTTAAAATGGCTTCTCTAAGATCCCATGGTTAGTTTGTAGCGTGAAGACTAAACCATCAAACGTTGCGCCTAGATTCTAAATGTGCTTCCCAGACAGGGCTCTTACGTACTACTTTGAACATGTTTGAATCCTGGGGTCATCTGATTCCCTGTGGAGAAGGGAGTAGTAGTATTCGACCGCAAAGGTAACGGGGTGCATTCTCTTTCCTCCTTCCCTGACCCCAAATGGTTTTAAACATTTTTGCCGAAATGAAGGAGCGGTCCTCTGAAGAGAATGAGTGATTCATTTGCGGCTTGAGTTGCAGCTCCAACCTGCCATACTCCTGTTCCAGTAACTTCTGCGCCCACACCCCTCCTAGTACTCGCAGACCACACCCACACGTCCACACTCTGATGCACCAGAGCCTACACTGGTCCCCCGCTCTGTGTATCCTCGCACTTCTGCCTTTCTTCCCCAGGAAAGGAGAGAGGCAGTCTTAGCACCCGGCTCCCCCTCCCCACCTACTCCCCCACACACGGCAATGCACATCTGTCCCGTAAAGCAGCACACAAGCAGGCTCGAGGACTCAGATGCTCTCTCCCAGGCGCTCCCCACCCCCCGCCCCCGCCAACTCTAGTGCTGGCACCCGCGGGAGAGGCGCGCTGGGCCTGCAGATCTATTCTCCAGGAGAAATCCTTACTCTTTGAACCATGAAATTCTCTCTGGGGAGTAAGATGGGGGTTGTTGCTGGAGGGGGTGGGGCTTTGTGCTCCCTCACTAGAGCGAGCCCTTTGAAGAGACACTTGAGTTTATCTCTCTGTCCTTCCAGCTCCCAGCCTGGGGCCTCTGCCCTGGTTGCCACCACACAATGGCCCCGCTACTCCCCACGGGTGGAAAGTTCCCCTTGAAAGCCTCCAGCAGCCTCGCTGCCTAGACTGCTCCATAAAGCACCGGCATGCTCTGGTCACTCTGCCCCGAGAGTTTAATGTGAATACTAAAGAACACTGACAGCTCCCCATACATCAGCTAATTCAGAGGTAATGGGCATGATGTAACCTCGGGCTTCATTGTCACAGAAGGCCAGAAGATGGGTCTGGAGTGAGGGAAACCACTCTCAGGGCTAGGAAGACTCACCTGCCCTCCAAAATATGATCATTTGAATACTTTTATTCTGATTTTATTTTTATTTCAGCATCTTCCAAAAGATTGAAAACTTTATTATCATATAAATACGTCTCTGGCATGGCATTTTCCTCTCCACAACAGGATGTGGCTAACTGTGTATCAGAGATGTTAATGAATCAATGTATTTCCTACCTGAATGTTTCTATGCAAGAAGCACTGAAACAAGCTGGCTCCTGAAACTAGGCATTGGGGTAGAGTCAGCTGGTGGTGGTTTGGCCAGTGAGATGCTCATGGAGAGAGTGCTGGCAGGGGACATGGCATCTTCCACCGACTTCCTGGGAATACTGCCAGGTGTGTGTAGGTGCGGCTCTGCTGCTGCTGCTCGTGATGCTCCTGGATTCTAGCTCCTCAGACTGTTCTCTTACGCCTAGGAGGCACCTTACAGATAAGTACAGAAATCTGTCTAAATTTCAGCCTCCCCTATCCCAAGGCAGTACACTGATAATAAAGTAAACAGTCTTTACTCCCAGGGCAGACATAAGCCATTATAGCCAGTGGGTAAGAGATTTCCTGCAAGGATGATAGAGTGGTTTATCTAGTGGGACATCCCTCTGGTCATTTAAGACCTCCAGAGTAGTTCATACTCATTTACTACTGATTGTATTAGAAGACTCTTTTCTTCCCTTAAAAATGCCTACTGCGTGCTGGCACCCAGTGCTAGTACTGGGGTAGGCACAGACTGGATAACGTAGCAGGCTGTGTGACAGCAAGAATCTCTTCATCAGGGGGCACCTGGGTGGCTCAGTGGTTAAGCCTCTGCCTTCAGCTCAGGTCATGATCTCAGGGTCCTGGGATCGAGTCCCGCATCGGACTCTCTGCTCAGCAGGGAGCCTGCTTCTGAACCCTCTCTCTCTGCCTACTTGTGATCTCTGTCTGTCAAATAAATAAAATCTTTTAAAAAAAAAAAAAGAATCTCTTCATCATATTCATATTTCTATCCCCAGTTCCCTACACAAGGCCTGACACACCCAATGAATATTCATCACAGGAATGAAGAGATAATGAAAGCTGGAGACTCTTCTGCTAGACCCAGTGAGCAGGATATACAGGACATTAAAGCCCATACAGGAAAGGAGGCCAGCAAATGAAAAACTGTGACTCTATGAAAAAATAACATTACTTTCTATCTCACACCTCCCATGTACCATTTCAGATCCTCCGAGCCTAGTGTCTGTTTTAGGCACTGCAAGAGCAACCAGTTCTAAGTGGGCTCCAGCCAGCTTCACATAGGTACAGCCTGGCAGTGCCTTGCTCCAAGGCCTCTCTCGCATCTCTCCCCCCACCCAGAGGCTTCTTGGTTGAAATTTCGGTGTACACGAAAACCCACAAAGAATCATGACAGATAAATGCCCCGTGGTAAATCTTTGCCTAATGGGAGATGGGGGCCCATGGATAAATGCTCCCCTTTTTATCTTCTGACAAAGGATCCTGAAATGCATAGTATAGAGCTCCTTAGTTGGTCTTGCTGAATTAAGTAACCAGTCACCTAAATCAGTGGCCGTTGGTAACACATCCTGTCCTGGTTCTTCATCTGTTCCATCCCTGCAATCGCACTCCCCAGTAAAGTATGTTCAGTAAGTCCTGTGTCAGGCACGCTCTACTTTCTGGCACCCCAGGCTAAACACCGGACTACTGCCACCAATCCAAAATATATCAAGAAAAAAAATATTTACAACAAGGAATAGTCAAATGATTTTTCAAAACGCCCTATAACACACACACACACACATACACACACACACACACACACACACACGGGCTCCTCTTTGTGATCACTTCTATCCTGCCCAGATTTGCTCTTATTAATCCCAAACATTTTGTTTTTGTGTTCATAAAATCAATAATCTAGGAAGTAATTATCTGGTGTGATATTTGAGGAGGCGCCTACTTTGTTGTTAACTTTCCACAAATATTCGATAATGGTTTCCTTTACAGAAGAGTTTGTTTCCACAGTGGGCTATTAAGGAAAATGGTAGAATTTCCCTCACTAAAGTATTTAATCAAAGGATAGGTGCTTATCAACTTGGAATAGAACTGGTTCTTTCAAGAAACTGGCAATACAAATTTTTGAAAACAGATAAAATCAAGTTATGTTGTAACAGGTAGTCAACTTAGGGTGGTCATAAAGTGAGCCGGCCCTGAAGGGAAGGGAAACTGAGTTGGGATTATCATTTTTCGGGGCACCTGGGTGGCTCAGGGGGTTAAGCCTCTGCCTTTGGCTCAGGTCATGATCTCAGGGTCCTGGGATCGAGCCCTGCATCGGGCTCTCTGCTCAGCAGGGAGCCTGCTTCCCCCTCTCTCTCTGCCTGCCTCTCTGCCTACTTGTAATCTCTGTCTGTCAAATAAATAAATAAAAATCTTAAAAAAAAAATTCTCATTTTTCCACTTTTAATCTGTTTTATCTGGGGTAAGTACCTTCCCTAAGTCTCGGTTCTTTATATGTAATATAGAACCTATAATGGTATCTATCCAATAAGATTATTTTAAGAATAAATGAGATAATTCATAAAAGCACGTATTCAACATATAGTAAGCCCCTAATACATTTCAACTATTATTATTCTTTTAGAGACAAATCATAAAGCAACTATTTTATATCTTCTGACCTTAAAATCAGTGCTAGAAGCCAGAACAAAATTTCAGCCTCTACCACTATCCCTTCCATGCTAAAATTTTATGATTCTAATCCCAGATCTGAAGTGGCATTTTCTTATCCACATAGTTACAGGACAGACTTTTATTTAAATACAGCAAAAGGATGATGTTCCAGATATTCAGTATCATGCAATCCATTACACACACACACACACACACACACACACACCATGCAATCCATTACACACACACATATACACATATATATACACACATACATACATACATACATATATACATATATATACATACATACATATATAGTGGGTGGGAACATTTATTTATCCTGTTTTTGCTCCTCTTTTTAAACCTCCTTAGATTTCAAATTTACCTTTTACAAAATGACATTATATAATTATATAATGAAAATGACATATACCATATACTTCATACATGACTATAATTGTAACTCAAATATTTTTATAGAAAAATGTTTCTGCTCATTCCTCCTCACTATAAAACATGGAAGAATGTAAAAGTTACATTGGATACGCCTTGTCCTGTTGGCTCTTAATGTTGTTGGGGGTCATAGACCTCTCTGATGAAACTAACGGAGCGTCTTGTTAAAAACACACACATGTTTTTGCATCCTTTTCAGAAGGTTTTGAGCACCTCTGAAGTCCCCTTAATAGAATAAAGATTAAGGAAAATATTGTGTATAAAAAACTTTAGGCCAGAACTCAAGTCCTGTATCTTCAAGGTGTTACTTACTATGTTAACATTGCTTTTTCAAAATGTGCTATTTAAAGGAAAGAATATGAAGAACTGCAGGGGTTTCTGAAGCGAACTTGGATAATCCCAAACTCTTAAGAACCCACTCTTAAAACAAGTATTTGTAGGCAAGGCCACCTTTGTTGG